CTGTAAGTCCAAAAAGATACATCAGATTCCCCAACAGAATCGCCCGCTACCTCTCACACTTTAAACGTTTCGCCAAAAGCTTTCTTGCCCCGAATAACCTTTTCCATAATGGACTCCCAGACCTTAAGGGAGACACACCTATTAACACAAGCGGGCCCTGGCACGGTGAGAATAAGGGGCGGGGCTAAAAAACGAGGTCATTTACCAACGAGTGATTTCGGACACTAATGCTATCTCGGCGCGTTTCGACATTCCGTCTGTCTGTGCTATAAAGTTTCGCGATTTGAGGCTCCTGATGGCCACTTGCTCCTCGTCAGCAGTCACCGACAATATAAGCTCAGCCTCGAGTCCAGCTTTTATTTCCCAGCGGAAGGTTATCAAGGGGCTAGTGATTGCTAACGAGACGCGGTATGGGTTTTGTCCTTTGGAGAGAGACAGGAGTATAGATGCAGAGGGTTTGCTTGAGATCCGAATCTGTTCCTCGTTGTATTTATCGGTCGTCAAATGATCTGACTAATGGTGTTTGCAATTGTAAGGGCTCTCGGGTCTGGCGCTCCCTCCCTCGTTTGTTTCCCTTTGTTGCTTCCCTCTCTTTCGCGTCGGGTTTCCTGTCTCGCCGTCCTTTCAGCTGCGGTTTTTACGACGGCGCTGACCGGCTCTCTCACACTGCCCGGCCCGTAATGGATTGCCCTTCTCATTACGTTCTCGAGCCGGGGGAGATAAACGCCAGATTACGTCGGTATATATTAACTCATCGCTGATAGGAAGCTTCAACGCGGATCCGTTTTTCAGATTCGGTTTTCTTGTGTCATCGGTATTGTCCGCTCGAACTACTGGTGGTGCGCGGCGGGCCGGGCATTTCCAGTTCTGCTTTTTATTATGCCCCGAGGGACGCGGGAAGATAGAGGGTATAAAAATACCATTTTGAGAAATTACTTCATTATAGAAACTTCCTAGGGACGGTTTTTTTGCGCGTGTGTGTGCGCGTTGTTTTAGTCTAGTGTGTGCTGTTGGGATATTCGCTTGGCCTTTCCGGATTATTTCGTAACTTCGGCTTCATTTAGCAGTCGAGCGACGCCTCGCCCAGGCCGCTCGGCTCCCGGAGGCACTGGAACGCCTCGCCTCCCTTCCGAGATGCTATCCTGCGCCGCCGCCCCTGTCTCTGGAGGCGCCCTTGGAACGGCCCGGCGCTGCCCTGCGTCGGCCGCCCCGCCGCCCTCCTCACGCCCCGCCTCGCGAAGGCCGTGGTCATATGCCTCCTTCGCTGATGGCCCTGTTTTGATGCCCCGCCTCGGATGCCCCTGGTTGTATGCCCCGCCTCAGCTGGCTCTGGTGTATGCCCCGCCCACAGGAGAGTCTGGGCAGCTGAAGACGACGCTAAGTTGCGCGGGCAGTCTTGGCTCACAGCCCGACCTGGTCACAGCTACCTGTGTGCGGGTCCAGGACGTGTGCGTTTCCCTGTGTGCGCCCCTGATACATACACGCGCTCACCCGCTCGTCGACATCCCTCCACCCTCGCCCCTCCCGCCGACCTCCCGGCACCCCGACAACTGGAGAATCCTCCCCGTCAGGCGGCGAGGGCGGCCGAGTGATACACAGTGCAACTCCGAAAACGTTTAAGCGGCGTCGCGGCGGCCGCTCGGACGGGATCAGCCTGTGCCGCTGTGATTGATGCCGCCGGAGTGACCCCGAGCTGACGCGCCTCGGACGGCGGCCCCGACTGTGGTGTGAATCTCGAAGGAGGCTTTATCTGCCCCGATTCGCGTGCCCTGGCGGACGGGGCGCGCGTGCCCGAGCCTGCCACAAGGACTGGGCGGCTGATCGAGATGAATGGTCCCGCAGCGCCCGGGCGGCGTGCGTGTTGATGCCGCGCGGCGAGAGACTGCGGCCGAGAGAGGCAACGAGTGCACGGGGAGCGGCTCTGGGACCAGTGCGGTTATGAGGAGGAAGGACCAGCTCCGGGACCACCTGCTGGAGGCGCAGAGGAAGCGCACAGACCT